TTCCTTCCTTCCTTCCTTCCTTCCTTCCTTCCTTCCTTCCTTCCTTCTTTTCTTCCTTCTTCCCTCCCTCCCTCCCTCTCTCCCTTCCCTCCCTCCCTCCCTCCTTCATTCCTTCTTTCTTTCTTTCCTTCCTTTCCTTTCTTTTTTTTTTAAGCTCATCTTGTTGTCTTCAAATGTTTTATTGTTGCTTCTGTTTCTATTTCAAACTAAAGTAGGTCATCTGTAGTGTTGATTGACAAGGAATTGATGCTATGTTAAAACACCATGGTTTGATGAGAGGCTAAGGACACCAAAAACAAATGTTAAGGAAGATGAAATGTACTGTGTCTTTGGCAACCTTGTCACCCTTGTGGGCCCTATTTAGATGAGTGATAGGCAGTGCTCAATGATGATGAAATTATGAGTTATGACTTTCATTATATTAATTTTCCCTTAATCAGGTACCAGCAATATACTGTTAAAGAGGTGTGTAAACTTGGGCAACCAAACCACATTCTTTGTTTTTTGCCATCTAAAATCCTGGAATCTTAAGAGCATAGCATCTGGGAAGGGAGAGGTGCAATGTATGGCCCTCCTTTCAAGGATTCATGAATCCCTAAAAGTGATCTAATTATTTGGGCTTCTCTGAGATTGCCTGTTCAATCTATTGCTCACATAGCCAATAACTGTCAACTTGTCACAGGGTCTTGCAATGGTGAGCTTGGTTGCAGCATCTTCCAGTTTAACATAGAAGTGCCTTTTGACACCCACTGTTTTGTGCTTGTTCAATAATATTCTAAGCACACTGGAATAGTTAGCACTAGGCTCCAGGTGGTTCAGTAGACTTTCAGCAGCCTCCCCTTTCCCATATGCTAAATGACCTTGGGGTACTTATTCTATCATAGCAAGCTGGGCTCTCTTGCTCCTTCACTTTTTTGCAGAGTTGCATCATGATTGACATGCAGTGTCTTTGGCTCTCCTAATAAGTCTTCTCAAGCTGAGTATGGTGGCATATATATATATATATATATATATATATATATATATATATATATAT